GAGGCCCTGGGTTCGATTCCTCAGCACCACATAAGCAGAAAAAGCCAGAAGTGGTGCTGTGGCTCAAGTGGTAGAGCGCTAGCCTTGAGCTGAAGGGCTGAGGGAAAGCGCCCAGACCCAGAGTTCAAGCCCCACAACTGACCAAAAAAAAAAAAAAAATCTTATCAGAGTCATACCTATGAAAAGCTATCTGGCTACAGGGCTGGAGAGTGAGGAGTGGCACGGGATGCTATGAAGCCCTCTGCCATTTCTCTAAGGCTCTGCTCTCCCTACCAGGACTGGGAGGGCAACATGCGCTTCGCAGAGTACAGCCATTTTGCTCTGAGCAATGAATTCAATAGCTACCGCCTCTTCCTGGGGAACTACAGTGGCAATGTGGGCAAGGATGCCCTCCTCTACCACAACAACACCGTCTTCAGTACCAAGGACAAGGACAACGACAACTGCTTGGACAACTGTGCCCAGCTCCGCAAAGGTGAGATTTGGGGTGAGGGAGGAGGAGAGGTGTGGGTGTAAGCCCAGGGGTCTCACTTGAGGACGGAGAGAATGTCCAGCTGTGCTGCTGCTGCTGTGGCCCTGGTGACTTCATTGTTATTGGCTCTGTCTGCTTCCCTGCTGCTCGGTCAGTCTATTCTGTAATCTCAAGGGAGGGTGTGCTGAGATACAGCCTGATCCTTTCTCATGCCAGGAGGATACTGGTACAACTGCTGCACCGACTCCAATCTCAACGGGGTATACTACCGCCTAGGGGAGCACAGGAAGCACCTGGATGGCATCACCTGGTATGGCTGGCATGGGGCCACCTACTCCCTCAAACGGGTGGAGATGAAGATCCGCCCCGAAGCCTTCAAGCCCTGAAAGGAGGCCTCTGGGGTGCAGGGCTGCAGAAGTGAGGGCAAGCAGGCTGGGAGGAGGGTACAGAATGGGTAAAGATAAGGACCGGGCCACCACCTCTGGTGGGAGTCATTCTCTGAGGAGCATGGCAGAACTAGTATGCGGGCTGCGAAGTGAGCACATGGGCATGCTAAAATTGTAAGTACCAAGGCTGTTATGGCAAATGGATGAAGCATTTAAGCCCAGTGCGCTCTGCCACAGACTCTCGCAGAATTCTCAGGGTGCAGGGCTGAGTGGCTCCCTCTGCCCCTGATCTGCCCACAGAGTGGCAGCTCCTCTTTTCCACATGATTTATCTGTGGGGAAATAAAATGGTGAGGACACTTTGCCCATTTTCTGCATATGAAAAAAAAATAGCAAACCCCCTTTGCTATAAAAAAGAACTATGGGGGCTGGGAAGGTGGCTCAGTGGTAGAGTGCTTGCCTTGCATGCCTGAGGCCCTGGGTTCAATTCCTCAGCACCACATAAGCAAAAAGAAAAAA